CTTCACGTCTGTGTAGGTCGGGTTCCATCCCATCGAGAGCACGGCCTTGTGCACGGCTTGCGCCTCCTCGGGCAACGTCGGGTCGCGGATGGCGGCCCAGCCGACGTACACGCCCTCGGTGCTCGCGTCGAAACGCGACTCGAACGCCGCCGGGTCGAGGTTCGCCGTCGGCCAGCCCAGCTGCTTGGAGCCGCGCTTGAAGCCCTCGACGACCTTGCCCGTCAGGCGGTGCGGGCCAACAGGGTCGATGACGCGCTGCACGGCGGTCCGGCACATCGACGCTGTCAAGCGAAAGCGCGGGCCGTGTAATCGCGTGAGCTGCGGTGATCCAGAGCGGGCCCAGGTGTCGGAGTCGGATCGCGCGCCCTGTATTTCTTTTTCGCTGAGAGCACCTCACTCCGCCGCCGCCGCCGCTCACGCTGCCGCCGCCCTCCACCTCCCCCACGCCGCCGCCGCCGCCGCTCACGCCGCCGCCGCCCTCCACCTCGCCCACGCCTCCGCCGCCCTCCACCTCTCCCATGCCGCCGCCGCCCTCTACCTCGCCCACGCCGCCGCCGCCCTCCACCTCCCCCACACCGCCGCCGCCGCCGCTCACGCCGCCGCCGCCCTCCACCTCGCCCACGCCTCCGCCGCCCTCCACCTCTCCCATGCCGCCGCCGCCCTCCACCTCGCCCACGCCGCCGCCTCCCTCCACCTTCTCCCCACCACCGCCGCCGCTGCTCACGCCCCGCCGCCTTTTACCTCGCCCACGCCTCCGCCTCCCTCCACCTCCCCCATACCGCCGCCGCCGCCCCCCACGCCGCCGCCGCCCTCCACCTCGCCCACGCCGCCGCCGCCCTCCACCTCCACCACACCGCCGCCGCCGCTCACGCCGCTGCCGCCCTCCATGTCCATGTCCATGTCCATGTCCATGTCCATGTCCATGTCCATGTCCATGCCATGTGCATGTGCATGTCATGCAAAAAGAACCCTGCACAAAGACCGCATGGGCGGGCACTTGTTCAACCCGTTCTTTTCTTTATCGTTCAACGTAGAAATTTATTTCTGTAGTGTAACCCACTCCTAACATTAATTCTCGCGCACGTCACTCTTGGCCGAGGAGAGCGGTCTGCCTCCACCCACCCACCACAAATGCCCGCAGATTTGAGTTTTGGGACGGCCGTACTTTGCGCTCGGCCTGCTCGGCCTGCCTTGCCCGCGCGCGCCTCGCCCAAGCGCAGCCACCTGCGGACCTGGCCAGTCTGTTCCTGGCTCTCCAGCCTCTCCTTCCGCTACCGCCGGCCTCGCAGTCCCGCCTGCCATGCACGCTGCAGAGCCTGCGTAGACGCCAGAGACGCCAATTCTGCAGCCCACAGCCCTGGCAACTCAGGGCGAGGGCCAGCAGTATACGACGACGACGAAATCTCACACCCCGCGCTGGCCAGCGCCATCAGCCCCTCACGGCCCGGCCCCCCCTCGGCACACCCCAGCAGCCAATGTGTGACGGCTCGAACCCGCTAAGCCATCCCGCAAGCGGGATGGCCCGCCACTCGAACCCGCAAGAGGGTGTGTGGAGGGTGAGGTGACGGAAATCGAGGGACGCGACCCACTTCGCCACAGACGGTCCCGCGCTCGCCGCTATGACCGCTGCACGGCCCGTACCGTCCGCTGTGCAGCGGTCTTTGTCCGGAGTGAAAAGTCCAACGCGCTCGTCGGTGACGGTGTCCTCCAACCTGCGCCGCGCTCGGCGAACCTCGACAGCGCCTTCGGTGGCATGCACCTCTTTGCGACTGAAGCCTGGAGAGCAGCTCCTCTGCTGCTCACACGCTCTGCACAGTTGGCACAGCCCACTGTGCGGCTGCCACAGCTGTGACAGCGATGGGCTCACCCTCACTGGCCGTCAGTCACTTGTGCTGCGGCTTGTGTGAGCGACACTGCTCGGCGACTGCCGGCACACTGTGAGACCATGGGTGTGAGGTTAAACCACGCTAACAGCGCTTGGTCACATCGGCCCCGAGGTCAGATCCTTCTACTCTGTTGATGACAAGACTTGTCTACTGGCTGGAGCCGAGCAGGAGGGCCCGGCGCACAACCCCTGGTCAACTCACCACACCCCGTAGGGGATCCAGGGGGTTGTGTCAGTAAAGTATGAGGCTGTGTAGGCTGCGTGAGGGGTGCGCCAACCGCAGAGCGCACAGAGTCAGAGGAGCCCCCCGTTGTGACAAGTGAGCTTTGCCTTCGTGAGAGAACTGAACCGTTTTCTCTCCTCTCTCTCCAAGCCCGCCCTTTTGTACAGCGTGCCAACGCGAGAGGCTACATCCCTATATACGCACGCGCGATGCGAGCGCTCTACGGCCCCACGCCGCGCCCCTCTTCGCCCCCGCGTGGCCGGGTGAGCACGTCGTACACCTGGTCCTCGTCCTCGGCGAGAAGGTGGTGCAGCGCGCGCAGCTGCGGCTCGTCCAGGGTGGCACCCGTCGCCGCGAGCGCCTTTGCGAGCCGCGCGCGCGAGACGGGCGCCGCCGCGCCGCCGTTCCCGCCCTCGCCGAAGCTCTGCGAGGGCGGCGCGAGCTCGCCCGGCGTGGGCAGGGGAAGTAGGCGTGGCCGAGCCCTGTTAGGCGTGGTCTGGGACGCGTCCCGGACCCGTTCTTGAAGGGGCGGGTGGGCCTGGTCCAAGGGCCCCGGGTCCGCCCCCCTTGCAGCGCGGTCTGTCAACGCCCAAAGGTGGCCAAGAAACTTGGTCCGCCTTGAACCCCGGGAAAAGTGGCGGAACCCCGAATACCTTCCAATGTTCCCTATAAGAGGGTCTTCCTAGGTAGGTTCATCGCGCCGCCCATGAGAATTGCCCGCCCCCAGGGAAAAAAACTTGGGGGGGTTCCGGGTCCGCCGGCAGGGGCGGGGCTCCTTTCCCCACCGTTCGGGCGGGGGGCGTGATCAGCCAGATCACCCAGCGCAACAGCCGTGGGCGTAGACGTTCGGTATGACATTGTTCCCCCACCTTCCATTCCGGGAAGACCCCGGGTTACAAGCCCTTCCGTTTCACGTCCATCGCTAACGCAGGAGCGGGACCGCGCTCGGACGATCAAAAATCTTGCCGAGGGACGAGGGAATCCCCCCGTGCGGAAGCAGTATGGGCCCGTGCCCCGGCGGCATAAAGGTCAAAGAGGTAGCGCCCCTTCTGCTCCCACAGCTCCGCGCGGCGGACGCGCCGCTGCGGCACGACCAGCCACGGCTCGCCTTTGACCCGGTGGAAGATGGCCCTCCGCGCGCTGTTCCGCCGCTCAAAGTGGAAGTCCGCCCATGCGAGGTGGCGGGGCCGATCGTGCGGCGCGGGCAGCGCGCGCGAGACGGCGAGCAGCTTCTCCTCCTGCGCGTACGGTCTCTTCTCCGGCGAGTAAGCGGGGCGTGCTCCGGCCGTGCCGTGGTCGTGCCGTGGATGAGGCCAGCGGGCGGGGAGGCGCGCGCGCCGAGCGGAGGAAGGCGCGCAGCAGCAGCGTCGACGCGCCGGCGGTGCCGCCCGCCACGAGCCAGAGCAGGTGCGGCACCTCCTCCACGCCGGAGTGCAGGTTCATGCCTAGCAGCGTGTGGGGGCCACGTCGCGGGGTGCTCTGCCGCCTGGCGGGCCGAGCGCAGCAGCAGGGTCTCGCGCCGAAGAAACCGCCGGAGACGGCGGCGAGGGCGAGCGAGAGGGAGCCCATCTGCAGCAGCACCTCGAGCCGCATGATCCGGTTCCGCTCGTTGCGCAGCTTGAGCTCCTCGAGCGAGCGGTGCGCCTGGGCGAGATGGCTCGAGATGGTCATTAACACTCTCATGCTCTAATGCTTTGTTGAGCTCCTCGAGCTGCGGCGCGCCTACCGCAAACCACGCCACGCGCTTGCAGCAGTTCACGACAGCGCCAGTCACCTGCGTCGCTCGAGGGCGGCGCGCCGCCAGCGACGCGCGCACGCCCAAGATGCGGTCCTCGAGGTCGGCGTACTGCGCGGCGGCCGCCTGCGGGCAGACTTCCGAGCAGGCTCGGGGAAGGGTCCGTCGGAGGCACTGCAGCGGCGGCTGCCTCGAGCATCAGCTCCACCTCGACGTGCTCCTAGAGGGGAGAGATCCGGGGAAGCTGTAGGGGAGGGCCGGCCCGAGCAGCCGCAGCTCCGTCGCCGCACTCCTTCTCGGGCCTCGCCTCGCCGCGCTGCTTGCGGTGCGACAAGTACAGCGCAGCCATGTCCTCGTCGCTCCGCAGCAGCGCCTCGAGCGTCGTCTCGGCCCGCTTCACCTCCACGCCCGAGCGAGGGAGGGACGTGTCACGGGCGTGTCTCGGACGTGTCGTGGGCGTGTCTTGGACGTGTTGTGGACGTGTCGTGGACGTGTCTCGGACGTGTCGTGGACGTGTCTCGGACGTGTCGTGGACGTGTCTTGGACGTGTCGTGGACGTGTCGTGGGCGTGTCGCGGGCGTGTCTCGGACGTGTCGTGGACGTGTCGTGGAGGTGTCCTCGGCCCGCGTCACCTCCACGCCGAGCGAGGAGAGCGCGTCGCCGAGCGTGATGAGCTGGTAGAGCGCCTGCGGACGAGTCCCGGACGTGTCATGGACGTGTCATGGACGCGTGTCATGTCCCGAGCGTGATCAGCTGGCAGAGCGCCTGCGAGCAAGATTCGGGAGCAGTGCACAAGCCGGGCCCCAGCAGTCTGGTCGAGTGTGCAGCGGGCAGAGCGCCTCCTCTCTCGCCTCGGCGTGCGCGTCGGCGGCGAGGGTGAGCAGGCCGAGCGAGCGGGGCCGTCGCTGCTCGAGCCGCCGGTCGCGCGTGCCTGGAGCATCGAAGATAAGAGCCACGAGTGCAGACCGAGACGGCTCGCGTGCGGCTGGATACGGTACAACCGACTGCGTGCAGTCTCGAGCGCTCGCCAGGTTCTAGGATGCGTGTCCCTCATCTAGGCGCGCGAGCCGAGTGCGCGTGCCATCCGCGAGGAGATCCGGCTGAAGCGCTCCTGCCGAGGAGCAGGCCGTGGTGACAGTGTGTCTCTCGGAGGAGTGTCGGAGGAGTGTCGGAGGAGTGTCGGAGGAGTGTCGGAGGCTTTAGTGTGCTACGCCTGCTTTCGGAGCAGGTCCTCCCTCAGCACCGCATCGAGCACCCGCAGCTCAAACGGCAGCGGGCCCTGCAGCAGGCCGTCGTAGAGCTGGCCCGCCAGGTCGCCACTCGAGGCGCCGCTCGTCCGCTTCTGGACGACGCGCACGATCTCGGACGCGAGCACCTCGGAGGCGACGCCGCTGCCGGCGGGCGCTGCCATCGCCCAGTGCGCCGAACGCTGCTCCCGCTGCGCCTCGCCGAGCGCCACGAGGCACGCCCGGTCCGAGGCGACGACGCCGGTGAACGGCGGGAAGCGGAAGATGTAGTAGTGCTCACGCACACCCAGCGTGATGTTGTTTGTAGCGAGCAGCCGCAGGTCGCGCGGCATCATCTGAAACGAGTCCACCAGCTCGGCGGCCGTCGATTGCGATACGGGTTCGCGCCGGCCGTCCGAGCTGATCGGATACGTGGTGAGGATCGAGCGGAGCGTGTGTCTCGCTCGCCGGCCGGTGTGCAGTGAGGCGGTGGTGAGTTGGCGGGCCATGAACATGCTTTGTGGTGTGTTCAGAACACGCTTTGCAATGGTGGTGAGGATCGGATGAGAGAGCAGCGATACAAGACGACTGTGGGTTCTGGAGCCGCATGGGTGCGGCGTGATTCCCGCAGGCATCAGGAGTTTATAGCCGTCGCCTGCGCCTTGTCTGTCGTGTGAATCGTGCGTGTGAGAGAGGCCATGCGGGCGGACGATCAGCCTTTGCTGAGGCCGCACGGGCCGAGCCTGTCGCGGCAACTGGTGAACGTGAGACGCCGGCTGCGCGACTTTCTCGCCCAGCAGGCGAAGAAGGGCAAGGACGTGCCCATGTTGCGGACCTCGCGCGGCACGCACCCCACCATTCGCTGGACGATCCGGTTCGGCCAGTGGCTGGCGACGACGCGCGTCCTGCCGTCGAGGGCAAGCCGCTGGCACTTTCCCGTCGAGAGTGTCGCGCGGCGGGACAAGGCGATGGTGCGCACCGGACGCGGCGAGAAGTCGGTGGAGGTCGCCCTCAAACACATGAAGAACCACCTCTTGGTGCGAGCTGTGGCCCGCGATGGACAGCAACGGGTATGGGTGGACGCAAGACAGATGATGACGACACGCACGAGCGACACACAGACACAAACAAGCTCACAAGACACACAGCCAGCTGGCTGCCACACACCCGGATTTTGGCGTACACATAACTCAGGGCCACATTCTTCCTGTCGCCCCCCCCATCACTCCAAGGTGCCAAGAGAAACAAACCAGGGCACAACATCACAACGAGGCTAGAGCAGCTTGCTCCACCTCTAGCAATCTCGCCGTCCGGCGAGGCACGGACGAGACCGTGTGTGGGGTCTAGTGAGGTGTCTATGGACGCCCTCCTCAGAGGCTAGCTGCCTACTGCTAGCCCTATCTCGCACTCACGGACAGTGAGAATTCAATGGGTGCCCATCCATGCCGGGCGAGTGACCCGAACCACCCACCATGTGAATCCGCCCTCAATGAATCCGTTTTAGGCTTGCCGACCCCATCGCCACGCTGATGACGCTCCTCCTCGCCGTCTCCGCCGCCGCCGCCGCCTCGCGCACCGCCGCGCCGGCCGCCGCCACGGCCGCCGCCACGGCGCCGCGCCCGCCGCCGCGGCTCACGCGCGATATAGCAATCCGCCCGACAGCGCACGGGCACGCCGAGTTCCGGGCCACGGACGGCCACGACGTCTCCCTCCACTGGAAGCGGTTCGGGCGCAAGGGTGCGCCGACGCGCGTCCTCTTCATCATGGGGCTCGCCGCCTCGCACAACGCGTGGCAGGCGCAGGTGGAGCGGCTCGTGGCGCAGGGCGGCTGCGACGTCGTGGTCTTTGACAACCGCGGCACGGGCGCGTCGTCGACGCCGCCGGGTGGGTACACGACCGACGCGATGGCGTCCGACGCGGCGCGGCTGATGGACCATGTCCAGTGGCGCGACGCGCACATCGTCGGCTTCTCGATGGGCGGCATGATTGCGATGAAGCTGGCCGCGCTGCACGCGCCGCGCGTGCGCTCGCTCTGCCTGATCTCGACGCACCTCGGAGGCTTCTTCTTCCGGCTGCCCGGCCCGAAGGGCCTCTCCAACCTCCTCCAGATCCTCGCGGCGCCCCTCGTCCGCCGCCTCCCCGCCGGCCGTCGCCTCGCTTCACGCATGCGCTCGCACCTCGACCTGCGCTGCCATTTCACGCCCTCCTTCCTCAACTCGGTGTCGCTGCCGCCGCCGACGCCGCGCCGCCGCCCGCTGCGGTGGGCCTTCAAGCGCATCTCGCGCGCCGCGCGGGCGGCGGCGCCCTTCAGCCGCGCCTCCCGCGCCGTCCGCTCTCTCGGCAGGTCCCTCCCGCCTTTTCGCAACGCTCTCTCGGAGGCCGATGCCGTCTGCTCTCCGACTCCCCCGTCCCGGGGTCTGCCCTGCTCTCGTCTGCGCTAGTCTCTGCTTCGTCACCGTTCACTGGCGTCTTTCCTCTTCTTTCTCCCCCACTTCTTGGATGTGCTCAAAGGGTTCCAACCGGCCAAGAATTCTTTCGC